GGAGCTGTGGCGCCGGGTCAGAACGACACAGAGGATTGCTGAGTGGTGAATATCACCGGGATATAATTAACTCCTGCCTGCTCCCTCCCTCCTCCAGGATGCCATCCCGCCTGCCAGCGCCATGCAGAGGCTTCTGCACAATCTCACGCTCAGCCCTGCTGCTCCCCAGCAGGACCAAAGCAATGGGGAACCTGTGTTTCATGTTCATCTTCATCTCCCTGCTCGCTCACGGTAAGGCTGGGGGTGGTAAGCTGGGGACAGGAGGAAGCTTTCCTCACTGTGTAATCAAACCATAATACTGTAGGTAGTGATGGGGGAAGGTGCCCTCAGGTTTCTGGATGATGTAGAGGGGCACTATGGTGAAAAGCATGATTTCATCCCCCGGAGTAATGCTAAAACACCATACAGCCAATGTGGGAGCAGCCTGGTTGGGGAACCTCTGTACTCTCCTGCTCTGGGGTTGGGTTTTGGAAGCTCTGGGAGCAAACTTTCTCCTTCTTCCAGGCTGTAGCTGGCACAGGGATGCTGGGGGTGCTCCTTGCTGCTGTGTGTGCACAGGCTCCAGGTGCAGCAGGAACACGGTGCCCAAGGAAGCACTGTGCATTTCCACTCACCAGCTCACTCCTCTCTGCAGGAAGCACTCACGGCCCAGACAGCTGTAACCACGACAGGGGCTTGTGCCGAGTGGGGAGCTGCATCCCCGGGGAATACCTGGCTAAGTACTGCTTTGAACCCGTCATTCTCTGCTGTAAACCTTTGTCACCAACTCCCACCAAGAGCTGAAAGTGTCCGAACTGCAGCAGGTGGAAAGCAGCAGCTCCTCCAGCAAGGAACGGGTCGGGAGGACGTGTTGTGCCTTTCTATGGGAGAGCTGCTCCAGCTTTCATTGGCTGTGGTCCTTTTTCTTTTACTGTGACTTTCTAAAGCGAAGTCACGCAGACTATATATTGTCCCTTTTGGCATCCAGCTGCTACCTGTCATGCACAGGTGAGAAAGTGCCTTTATCCTTACCCAAAAACAATAAACCCAAGGTTTAACAGAACAGCAAGTGCTCATTTGTCTCTCCTGCTGACACCCAGCACTCTTCCCATCCCACCCTGGGGAGGGCAGTTGCAATGGGGCAGTCTTCTTCTCCACTGCTTTCAGTGCAGCCTGATTTAACATAAGTAAAGGTGCATTCTGTGCATTCACAGGATGTGTATTCACATGCAAGCGCATTCAAGTGCAACCCCCTGCACTTACCTACTCATCCTTCCCTGGTTGTGCCAGGTTCCCACAGGCAATGGGAAGGGCTGGATGAGAAATACAGCACAGAAGGGAACGAGGATGCTCCGTATGTTTACAAGACCTTTGACCGTTGGCAAAGGCCATAGCAGGAGCAAATGTGCCATTCTTTATTAAATCTTCCCCCAGCTCAACCAGACAATGCAGGAATGCTGTGGGTTCACTCCTCTCCCACAAAGCAGCCAAAGGAAGGGAGACCCCAGGCTTGCTTGCTTTAAGTGGAAGGAGGGATCTGAATCTTGTCCATTGTCGCCCTTAGGCTGCATTCTGGTGCTTCTCCTCTTCTTCCAGCAATAATCTCAAAGTGACTGGCAAGTTTGCATCTAGCAGCTTTCTGCATACAAGGTGAGGATGGATGGAGCTCCTGATGGAGCTGCTGGTGCCCCTGTTTACTGCAGGGCTGTTGGAGCAGATGGCCTTTAAAGATCCCTTCTAGCTCAAACGATTCCATGATTCTAAGCTGCACCAGCCAAACTCTGTTTGCTCTCCAGATCCACCTTGTGCCTTTCTGTGCGTCTTCAGCAGGAATTTGATCCCCCCCTGCCTTGTCAGTGTGCTCTTGGTCTCTGATTCCAGGTAAAACCGTATCTCTCTCGGTCAATCACTTCAAGCAAGAAAACAATGATGTAAAGACAGAGTTATGCCAATTAGCTGAGGCGTTGGCCAGAGCCAGGGAAAAGTCCTCCCTGGGAGATGAAATTCTTGCTCTGATGAACCAAACAGGAAAATTCCCACTGACCTCACCGCGCTCAGGGCCCAGAGCCAGAGGTCCGGCACTGAATCATCTGCCTCCATTCCTGATTCACGAGCAGCCCGGATCTTCTCCCTGGGTCATCACAGCATGGTCCAGGCCATTGAGGCACACAGGGAGATGCCAGGTCTCCCCTGGAGATCCCCACAAACAGACAGGAGTGCTTGGGAACTGCTGCTGCAAACAGAGCCTGGAACCAAATTCCTCCCCACCCTGTGGGCTGCAGCCCGGCTCTCCAGCACACACAACACAGCGGGCATTTAAATCAAGGCTCTTTTCCAAAGCAAACAGTTTCTTCCTCAGATTTGCCCACAGAGTTTGTGATTCACGCCTCTTATCTGAGGGACCGTTAGCCACCATATTTATGGCCTGTTTTCCTATGAAAGTGCAGCGTATGAGCTCACCAGCTCATCCCGTAAATCTCCCTGCCAGATGCTGGGACTTCTGCCCCCCCTGTATGTTTTGAAGAAGTCAGCCAGCCAAATTTCCATCAGGGTCACCTGGAACTGGTCCTTTTGCAGGCGTCGTTGTAATGGGATGGTAGACACCAGCTGCTGCAACAAGGCTTGCTCCCATTCTCCCCCATTTGTATGTTCCATTGCTCACCGATCTAGCTGGAAATCATCCTCAAAAAAAGCCCAATCCATCCCAAACCAAAACAAAACAAAAATCAACACAAAATCCAAAAGCCTATTATCATTTCTGACCAGTAGGTGAGACGAACAGACACACAGAGTAAGGATGAAGGACACACAGAGGAAGGATGAAGGATATGCATGCAGGTTGGAGAGCAGCACACTCCAGACCAGTACCCTACGCAACCCTTCTCTATGGTTTCTTGACCCATTCACTCCCTTGGAGCAAAACAACAGTATAAGATGCTTCCGTGTGAGTGTATTATAGGGCATGCTACTCAGAGTAATGATCTCCAGGTTTTTTGATCTTATGGGAGAGAGCCAAATGATTATATTTGTGCAAGACCCTTTAATTTCAGCTACTTGAACCTAACACGTAGCTCAGGTGTTTCTCAGATAGGCATTTCTCAGTGCCAGCAGTCCTATACCATCTCCTAAGAGACACAGGAACAGTCCATCCCTCTAAGGAGATGTATTTTGGGTCTTTGCAGCCTCTTGTGCACCTGCAGCCCTATGGACAGCCCAGTCCTCACCTCTGTTCCTGAATGACTGGAGATATGAGTTCATCAACCGTTGGCCTGAACGTCCCCCTCACTGGAATTTGTTTGCTGTTCCCAAGCAACAGGCCAGTGTTGGTTTGGCAAAGATAGCCAAGGTTGAAGTGAAATCCAGCTCTTAAAATGCCATTGTAATTGCAGCTGAGGAATCAGAACCGGAATTATTTGGGGAAAGTGAGCTTTGTACTCGTGGGCAAACCCCTTGCATCCTGACTGTCCCCTACACCCCTATGCAAAATAAGGTATTTTCTAACACTGTGTGTTTGGCTCTTCCTCCTCCTCCAACTCTTGTCACATCATTAATAATACACCATCAGCAACCCCTACAAAACCCATCTCCAGGGGCATGGTGACTTCCAGCTGCCAAAAGAGAAGGAGATGTAGGTCTAAGATCACACCTACCAAACAGCACGGCTGCCTCAAGAACTCCAGAGCATCCCAAATGGTAACACGTTGTGTTCAGGCAACTGGAGCGGGTTCTAAGACCCCACTGACTTCAATCATCACTCAGATATCTCATGGACCTGAAGACCTACATGTTCCAGGAGGTAGGAATGGTGGGTATGACCCACCAGATGTCTGTAAACCTGACCACGAGCAGGGTTTGGGCATTATTCCCTAAACATCTCTTCTGTTTTGTGGGGCAGGAGGCACAACAGCCTTCTGGACAGAGATTGCTCCCAGAGCATCCCCTGCAGTGCTAGAAGGGTATCATCTGGCTTAGTGTGTATGCCAGAAGTCTAAGATCAGGAAAGAAATGTGCTGAAGGTGAATGTGGCCTCACTGTTCATGGTATTGTCATGAAAAATAACTTTAGGGAAAAGAGTGGGAGCAGAATTTAGGGGGAAAAAAAGACTTCCTTTACGTAACCGGCAGCAGATCAAGGAAAATCTTTATTGAAGGACATTGCCATGTAAAACTTCTCTCCTCCTGAGAAGATAGTAGTCTGGGATTATGCGAAATCCTACAACTGTGCAGCCAGCAGCATTCTGATGGTTCCAGATAGAGCTCACCCCCTGAGCTGGCAAACTAGGAATAAATTGTGCAGCACATCATTGGGAACACTATGCCCACCTGGTACCCCGGCTCTGCTCTAAACCCCACATACAGAATATCTCCCACTGCCAGCATGCACATCTTCCACTCCCATCATCAGAGCAAGACACTGTTTGAGTGTCCAAGAGTTCCTCTCTGCTTGGGTTGTAGAATTGTATCACAGAATCACAGAATGGTTGGGTTGGAAGAGACCTCAAAGCCCACCCAGTCCCAACCCCTGCTGTGGGCTGGGTGCCTCCAGCTCAGGCTGCCCAGGGCCCATCCATGGCCTTGGGCACCTCCAGGGATGGGGCACCCACAGCTCTGGGCAGCAGTGCCAGGGCATCACCGCCCTCTAAGCAAAGGATTTCTTCCTAACACACAAAACCTAAACCTCCTCTCTTTTAGTCTAAAGCCTGAAGAGCTGCCCTACTACCAGTATGCAGAACACCAAGACTTCCAGAGTCTACACACACCCTTGCAACCACCCCTCCTGCACACAGACCCGCTGCCTTTCTCTAGGCTGCGTGTGGCCAGCTTATAGGACACCCAGTTTAAACACACGGTGTCCCACGACCCAAAGTCCAGCTGGTGAAGGGCTCCTTATCAGCTCTGTTTGATGAAGGTGATCCCTGCTCTGTTCAAGAAGCCCAAAGGCCACATCACGTCCCACCACGTTACAGCACTTGCACATTTTCCAGCACTGACTGTGAATAAAAGGCCATCAAGGTGACTTACAGATGGTGAACGAAAGACTTAGTGATGCCCTCTGCTGCTTCATTGCTGTAAAAAGATGCCTTTATAACGTTTCTACGTTTCCTCTTCATTTTTTTGCCCAACCATTTTTATTGTTTGGATGAGGTTTCCCTTTGCTGTTTGCTTTGCGTTGTTTGCCAGAGTTGAAATTCAGGTCCCACGTTTGCTGATTTCCTGGAACTGATCTGGAGCAGCAAGCCTCAATACACATGCTTCTCCTAAAGATTCTGCTAATTACAGGGACATATCCCAGCTTTCCTATGTAATAAACTCATGAAGAAATACGTTGAATTGCTGTTTTTCTTGACAGCTGCAAACAAAAGTTTGGCAAGCCATCTCTTTGTAGCCTAGAAGTTGGGAAAACGTGAGCAGACCTTTGGTTTTTAACGATCCCATGCTTTCCAAGCCAACTCAGCACTGCTGGGGAGCACTGAGGAGCAGGAGACTCTGGGTTTTGTCACACTGGACTTTGTAAAACATGTACAGAGACTGGGAGTTGGAAATGAGAAAAATACAAAACACTTTGATCCTGCAAACACTTGGATAGGTTTCCAACGTCGCATGCTGGAGTCTACAAACGCACCAACAGCCCAGCTGGGTCAGCCCCAACATCCTGTCTCTAGCAGCAACCAGGAGCAGACTCACTGTCTGTGCTCACTGTGCTCACTGCAGTTTGCTGACAGAAGCCTGCTGCTTTCTTTTTTTTTTGCTTTTTTTGTTTCCCCTCCCCCTGAACGTGAGGTGTCTGAGAGCAGGCAGTTCCCAGAGCGACTGTTTGCTGTCATGTTGAAATGCATCTGAGATTGACAAAGTTCCCTCCACTCCAGGAGCGTTACACAACTCCCAGCCTTATAAATCCAGGATTTCCCTCTTCTCTATCTCCCTGCAGCCCTTCTGGTGGTGGGACACCCACCCACATTCAGCCATGAGGATCCTCCAGCTGGTCTTTGCCATCGTTGTCATTCTCCTCCTCCAGGATGCACCTGGTAAGGACCAAATATTTGCAGAGGTTTGTGTAGGACGGTGGAGAGATAAGAGACAGGACTTGATCCCCAGGTAGAGGCAGACAAGACAGAGCAGTCAAGTCAAGTCGAGTCTGACCCGACTTTTGCTTCCGAGGAACAAATTTGTTCTCCACAAAGCAGAGAGAACACCATGACAAACAAAAAGCAACTTTTGCAGAAAGCAAAGGAAAGAAAGTGGGGAGAAAGACTGAAAGGTCATTTTTTTGTTTTGCTTTGCCTCAGTTCTTCTGGGGTTCTGTTTTAATAGGGAAGACTTCCTTAGCTGTGCTGTTTGACTGGTTGCTTTTATATAGAATCACAGAGTTGTTTGAGTTGGAAGGGACCTCTAAAGGCCATCTGGTCCAACTGCCCTGCCCTGAACAGGGGCACCCACAGCTCCATCAGTGCTCAGAGCCCATCCAGCCTGACCTTGGCTGTCTGCAGGGATGGGGCACTGCCGTCTCTCTGGGCAAATGCACATGTTAGGAGCTCAGGTCTCACCCAGCCATAGGGTCACCGTGGTATTACGAGGACTGTGATGATGTAACCCCTATAGAAACCAACTCTGATAATCAAGAAGAGGAGGTTTATTGATGTGGTGTGTCTACACTCTCATTTAGTTAACTTAAGTCCTAAGGATAAAAGGAGGGAGAAGGACTTGTCCACTCCCTGATGTTGCATACCCATCAGTGCATTCCTCTCCAGAATCTCCAAGCCTGGTGTTCCTATTCTGTGTAAAGACATTGCCCAAGGGATCCACTTCACCTGACACATCCAACCCACAGCCGCCCATCTTGCCTAGGTTTAGCTGTTAAGATGTGTGCTGTGTTTGATGTTCAGGTCCCAAGCACTTACCATGAAGCTCCCTGTTCCAACTGCAGGTGTTGGTTGCTCACCCAGTATCACCAGTACGGTACTGTTTGGGTTCCCAGCCCCCTAAGCAGCTCACCTATGCCCTTTGCCTCTGCAGCAAGAGGTTTTTCAGACAGCCAGCTGTGCAGGAACAACCATGGCCACTGCCGGAGGCTCTGCTTCCACATGGAGAGCTGGGCTGGGAGCTGCCTGAACGGCCGCCTGCGCTGCTGCAGGTGACAGAGACTGCACTGGGATGGACCAGCACTCCAGGGGCCACGCAATCAGGACCATATGCAGGAGCTGCTCTCGGACACCATGGCTACATCCACATCTGATTTTGTCCGCCACCAATAAACCACTGAGTTTTCAATGTCTTTCTGCATCTGGACCTTCCTTCATAATGCTTGGGGTTTGCTTTGTTTGTTCACACGGAGGCATTTAAGGATGCTTGGGATGCACCCAAACCATCTGAGCATCCTGCTGTGTGTGTCCCTTTTTGGCCAGGGTTTGGACCTGAGATCCCTTCCCACCTCAACCTTTCCATGATTCTGTGGATCAGCGATTCTGTGATTTAACTCATGTGAAATCTTGCTCACACAGTGGGAGAGTTAAATAAAAAGACAAGTTCCCCATGCAGCTGGTGATAAAAACAAAAGGACTTCCAGCCTCATTTGCTGGCAGGAGATTGCCCAGGATGTGTGTGTTTGTGAGTATGGGGCAGAAGAAGGGGGCTGAAGCCACCAACCAGACTTTGGATGGGCTCTGGGTGCTGACACGTGCAAAGCACTTGATGTGGGGGATGAATGAATAGATGAAAAAATGCTGTTTGAATAGGAGAAAAAAAATTCCAGTTATGTCAGGCTTGGTGACAGCAGGTGGCAGTCCCAGCCTGCTTCTCTGCTTCTGCTGCAGAATGAAAGGAAAGAGGGAAGGGAAGGGAAGGGAAGGGAAGGGAAGGGAAGGGAAGGGAAGGGAAGGGAAGGGAAGGGAAGGGAAGGGAAGGGAAGGGAAGGGAAGGGAAAGGTCCTGATGTACAGAGATGTATGGTGGCTGGAGAAGGGACAGCTGGCATGGACAGTAGGCCTTGGAGTTTTTTAGGGTGAGAAAAAATAAGTTCCTGTATTTCATATTCTAACATAACATGAGGGGTATCGCTGCTTCATCTGGTGGGTGGAAGTATGAATGGGAATAGGCCAGATGCATTAACATCAGGGAGAAAATCTGGTCAGCTGTTGATGCAGGAAGAAATAGAGCTGCTCACCATGAAGTGCTCTGCAGCAGGACTCATGGGAGCAGAGCATCACTTAGGAGAGGAATTAAATCAATGCGTGACAGGGCACCCATAACCTTTGGGGCTGGGAATACCCCAAACTTGCTCCCCTTGATCCATGGCTGCAAATAGGATGCCTTCATGCCTTTACAGTGAGGGTGGTGAGGCACTGGCACAGGTTGCCCAGAGATGTGGCGTCCATGGAGACTTTGAAGGCAAGGCTGGACCAGACCTTGGGCAACCTGATCCAGCTGTGGCGTCCCTGTGCATTGGAGGGCAGTTGGACTAGATGGCCTTCAGAGGTCTCTTCCAACTCTAAGGATTCTATGATTCTTTTATGCCTCCTGGTCTCAGGATGCTGCTCCTCTCTTCTGAGTGACAGTGCAGCTCCTCAGGGAGCTGGGATAGCTCAGCCAGAGGTTAGCAGCCACTCTGGCTCACCCAGGCCCCATGGAGCAGATAAGGCTCCCTTTGATAACAAGACCGGCCAGCAGCAAGCCTCCAGTTTTCCACCTTTTTGAAGTCTGCCTGGTGAGGCTGTGCAGAACTTTGTCCGCTTGCCAAAGTAACCAACTTCCAGCTCCAGCCTTCTTCTTCCCTCCTTTCCCCGCTCTTCCTCCTCGCTCCTCCATGCACACGCTGCTCCACGAGGCCGATAGGGACTCTAGGGCGGGAGTGAGGGCTGATGTCATCTGTTTTTGGCTCTGTAGAGGAGAAGACAGTGTTGGAGGAGGTGAGGGTCGACACGTCTGCCTCTACCCAGCCTGGCGCCGGGAGCAACTGGGAGCCTTCCTCCCGCAGCCGCCTCCATTCCTTATCAGGGCAGGATGACATTGCGGGGACCCGAGTGGGGAAGAAGGTGGGAGAGCTGAATGGGAGCCTTGTGAGAAGGGTGTGTGTGTGTGTGTGTGTGTGTGCTGGAAACAGCTCCTGGCAGGAGCCAAGGGGGGAAATAGCTTGCAGCAGGATGGAGCCTGCTATCAGCTATGTGCTGGAGTCAATGAGGCTCCTGCTGAGGTTAACCTCTCCCATCCTGGGCAGGCAAGCTGGAAAATTCTACGTGGTAGTCTCTGAAGGGTTAAAAGATCCCCTGTGCCATTCAAGGAGGAGGATGAGCCCTATGAGCAGAGGGAGGGAGGTGACAACCTCTATTCCTTACCCAAAGTGTGGGGTATGCACACAGGGCTGGCTGTGACTGTACTGGGAAGATGGGAACTCTTGTGAGATGGAGCAAAAGGTCCTCCTCCAAAGGATTTTGACATTTTTTTACCCAATTCTGAAGAGAAAATTTTATTGTCCATGGAACAGCAATGATACCTAACGTCACCCACTCTTTTCTTCTCTCCCTAAGAAATAAGGTTTGATCATAGAGTCTTAGAATGTTAGAATCATCAAAAAAACGAATGACTGAACCACTGAATCATCAAATCATCAAGTCACCGAATCACAGAATGGCTTGGGTTGGAAGAAACCTTAAGGCCATCCAGTTCCAACCCCTCTGTCACGGGCACAGTTGCCACCCACTGGATCACGTTCCCCAGGGCCCCTTCCAGAAAAAATCAGAGAAGAATGAAGCATTTTTAGGTAAGCCCAGAACCAAACTGTGCCTCCTCTCTCCTACAACACATCTTCAGGGAGGGAAAAGCCTGGTGGGAGGTGGGAGATGCAGCCCAAAGAGGGAGATGGATCTGTAGTGCCTTGACCTCCAAACATTTCTGACTGTGTCAGAGAAAAGCATGTCACTTGGTCACAGCTGATGTCTCAGAGTGTAATAAAGTACATTTTCCAGGCATAAATAAATGACTTCATCCTCCTGGCAAGGTGCTCTGGGCCACGTGGAGGAAAAACAGTGCAGGAGCACTGCAGCTCCCTGAGGATGGAACTGGTGGGACAGCTCCAAGGCAAACACCACAGGCAGCATCCAGGCTGCAAATCTGGGATTTGGCTTTCCAGGATGCTGCCAAAACTTGTGGCTCTTGGTCTGGGTATACCCTGGGATGAAAGGCAGAGCTGAAAGTTCCGGGGGAAGGCTTTGCATCCCAGATGTGGGATGATAGGTGAGCCCTTCCTCTACTCCATCCTCCTTTCCCCAGGGTCTCCACCAAGCAGCCCTTTTCCAACCCTAAACTTTCAGTGCTGCACGCAGAAGAGCAGGACCCTTCCCCAAGCCTGGGAGGGACGTGAAAGCTGTCAGGAGGCTTTATTGTCCAGATCTTCAGGCTGCTATCAGCAACT